GGGAAAGGAGTTTGTAAGCCGCTCTGAGACACCTTTGGGTAGTGAAGGGCGGGGTATAAATCCAATCTCTTCTTCTTCTTTTACCTCATAGGGTGTCTGTTGTGGGGAGGGGAAGGGAAAGGAGATTGTAAGCCGCTCTGAGACTCCTTTGGGTAGTGAAGGGCGGGGTATAAATCCAATCCTTTGTTTCTTTCCTACCTCACAGAGTGTCTGTTGTGGGGAGGGGAGGGGAAGGGAAAGGAGTTTGTAAGCCGCTCTGAGACTCCTTTGGGGAGAGAAGGGCGGAGTATAAATCCAATCTCTTCTCTTCTTCTTCTTCTGTTCAAACTAGAAGGAGTTCCTGCTGGGTTTGAACACTGTCAGTGTCAGGGACAGAGCGAGACTAACTCCCATGGTTTGGGAATTTCTTTTGAAAACAAGTCGCTTAAAAAAAGAAGAAGAATGCTGTCTCGAGGGCTTTTTTTTGTCAGGAGACCAGCTGCAAATCAGGCCGAGGGAACCAAACGGCCAAAGTCCAAGCTGAGCTTAGCAAGCAGTCGAGACTGGGGGCGGGAGGGGGGGGAAGGCTGGTCTGATTTTGCCCTGGATCGTTTCTGGAGCTGTCCGGTTGCCAGTGTTGGAAGCGGGTCTACTTCCAGGTACTTTAGTGGGGAGGGGTTGGGTTGCCAAGTCTCTTCCTTGCACCGTCGGGAGAGGGATTTGGGGGGCGTTCCAGGGGTGGGTGGGGATGTCGCATGATCCACTGACGTCACCTGGAAGTGACATCAACGCATCGGGGGCGACACTTCTTTCTGGGCGAAACTCTGTGGTAAAAAATGGACTCAAACCATAGAGTTTTGCCCCAAAAGCAGAGCATCGCCCCCCTCCCCACGTCACCAACGCACTGACATCACTTCCAGGTGACTTAAGCGTATTGCACACAGCGTTGGGTTGAAGGGAATTTCCTCCCACTGGCCAGTGGGCTGGCAGCGGGCCAGACCCTGTGAAAGTGGGGAATCCCCCACCCCCACCTGGGGAACAGTATCCTTTTGGGGGGACCACTGCTTCCAGCAGGGTTGCCAACCTGTAGGCAGGGCCTGGAGATCCTCCAAAATTAGAGCTGATCTCCAGACCCCCTGGAAAAAAATGGCTGCTTTGGAGGGCAAACTCTGTGGCGTTGTATGCCGTCCTCCCCAAGCGCCACCCCCAAATTTCCAGGGATTTCCCACCTCAGAGTTGGCAACCCTAGCTTGGACCCACATCCCTGCCCCCTAGAAATATGCTATACTCTGGTGTCCCCTGAGGTACCCAAAAGGCCTTTCAAGAAGCAGTTTATCCAAGAATTCGGGACAAGGAGAAGGCTGAAGGAAGCACCAGAAACGGTTGCTTAGCAACCCTTCAGTGTGTTCTGAGATAGGTTTCAGGCCTCTGGTGGTGAGAATGACTCTAGTAGTGGTCGGAGTTGTGAAGGTGGGGAAGACTATCCAGGGGGCCTTTTCCCATGTGCTCCACCTGCTTTTATTTTGCCTCTTGTGGGGGTTGTCTTGTTAAAACGTTTTCTCAAACGGGCCCAGAGATGCAGTGTGTGGAAATCCAGTCTCTTTTAGGGATGCCATCTCCAGCCTGGGACATTCCTGGAGATCTGGAGGGGGGTGCCTATGAAGGGGGAAATATGAGAAGGGATTTCACCTGGAATCTATGGTATACCATAGAGTTTGCCCTCCGAAGCTGCCGTTTTCTCCAGGGGAACTGATCTCTATAGTCTGGAGGTCCGTTGTAGTTCCAGAATTCCAGGCCCCACCTGGAGGTTGGGAACCCTGCAGTCTTTGTTGGGGTCTCCAGAAATTAACAACACAAACCTAAACCTAAATAGATGTGCATGGACAGGAAGACACCGCATAGCACACCCCTAACATCATTTTCCTTTGTGAAATGCTGGTGGTGTGTTACCCATAATAGAACTTCTGGCCTTTTCCACCTCAGCCAATCATAACACCAGCACCGCAACCCTAGAGTCAGATTCGACTCCTGGGATTATAAGTGATATTCAGGCAACAGAGATCAGTTCAGCTAGAGAAAATGGCCACTATGGAAGGTGGACTCTATGGCTTTATCCCCATTAATAAATAATAATAATTGTATGGCGTAGCCAGGAGTTCCTGGAGGAATGTTGGCTGCCGAAGCTGTAGCTCTTTTTTGGCCCCACTAGGGGGCGAGCTATGCTTATTTTTTTAGGCTGAGAGTGCTATAACTTGCCCAAGGTCACCCAGCTAGCTTATAGTGGGGAATAAAACCCGGTTCTCCAGATTAGAGTCCACCACTCTTAACCACCACACCAAACTGGCTCTCCCCAAACCCCACCCTCCTCAGGCTCCACCCCCACATTTTCCCATCCCAGAGCTGACAGCCCTATACATGTGCCATACCTGTGAGCTTCACATCTGTTTAGTGGGATGAGTCAAGTTTGATGGTCAAACTGGCACTCACCAGCAAACAAGGAATTTGTGGACTGATTGAAATCTGAATCTCACAGAAGCTGCCCCCTGCAGTAAGCTTTTCTTAAGCTCGGCACATGGATTTCAGCCTGTCTCTACAAACTCCCTCCTCGATGGTTTATTTGCTAATTTATTCAAAAGTTCTCTATCCTGTCTTTAGGTCAGAGCTTCCAAAATGGGGAACATGTGAAGCAAGTGAGGTGAAAATCTCAGTCAAGCTCAGTAGCAAAACATCGGTTTAAAATATATATATTGTTTGACGATCATCTGTAGGATCAAACTCGGGCAAGAGAGAGAAGGAAAAGGGATATTCCCTGTTAGGTAGCAAAATCTGAGATAGATCCAATGCGCCCGCAGACAACTCTACCAAAAATTTGAGCAGGTAGAAATCCCTTGAAACCTGCCACCTGAAATTCTACAGGTAGAGCACTTGGTGTAATGCTGGCGGGAAGGAAGTGCCACGGCCCAGGGGCCAGTACAGGGAAGGCCCTGCTCCGCAGTCTTCTAGCGCAGCCCTTTGCATGGCAAAACTGCACGGCAGCCCTCGTGCAATTTGGATTGACAGCCGCCGCAAAGCAAAGCTGCCTTGTTTTGCGCCCATTTGGCCTGAGCGGTCGCTCAGAAGTCCCGTCTTGGTCGTTCTTCCTTTTCAACTGTATCTGTTCTCTGTCTCTCTGTTTGTTTTTTTGCCTTTTCCTCCCCTGTAGTTTCTCTGTGGCTATGCGTCCAGTGCTTTCGGCCCGTCAGCTGCATTCACTCTGAAGGTAAAAATGAAGCCAAGAGTTCCCTTCTGTTGTATGTCCGTCCCCGTCCCCACCCTAGTCTGTTTAGTGTTACGCTTCTGCTGGTTTTTCCTTGTCCTTATGTCATTTGCCTTGGGTTCATCCAAAAAGGATGGGGCCATCATACAAATACAGAGAGGGCTTCTCAAAGCAACCAGATGTCCACCAGAGGTTTGCTTTGAAGAAGTTCTGTTGAGAACGGGGCAGAAAAGGGCTCCCGACATGATCAAGGAGTTGGAGTAACTTTCCTTTAAAAGGGAGGATAAATGTTGGAGAGTGTTGGTTTAGGATAGGGGTCCCCATCATGGCGCCCACAGGCTCCATGGCATTCGCCAACATCTTCCTTGGTGCCCTCCAGGTGTTTTTACAAGGTGGGCGGGCCAAATGGGTTTTTGCCCAACAGGGCTTCCGATTAACAAATTCTGAGTCCAGCGGCACCTTTAAGACCAACAAAAGTCTGTCCAAGGTGTGAGCTTTCGTATGCACGCACACTTCCTCAGATACTTTGAAATGGAAGTTAACGGTTCATATATATAGGTAGATGCCTCTACGTAGGTGTACGGCAAATCAGCATACAACTTAATGAAGACGAGGGATGGGCACAAACCCCCAAACAAGCCCTGGTTCGAGTACGAACCAAGCCGGTTTCTGGTTCGCGAACCAGGGGTTCGAAAGAACCTGTCTCCCACCATCTGCCCACGAACCTCCAAGATTTTCGTGGAGGTTCGTGAGGTTCGTGGGCTCCAAAGGCATTTAAATGCCTTCAGAGCTTCCTTCTGGGTCTGGTGGGTCACCCAGAAGTGAGCTTCAAGGCACTTAAACACCTTCGGCCAGCCCAACTGAGCTCCAAGAGTGCATGCACACGGAAGCTGAATACCTCGAATAAAACTTTGTTGATCTTAAAGGTGCCCCTGGACTCAGTCTTTGCTCTTCTGCTGCAGACCAACATGGCGACTCACCTGAATCTGTCTTGTTCTCACAGTCTGTGGGCCCAGCGGGATTGTTGCTGAATCAGCGAGTGTCCAAAAAATCAGGGGCGCCGTCATGGGTTTTGCCTGTGGAAATGGTCACTGCCACTGTCACCCCACAGTCCTATTAATCTTGGAAGGACAGGTGGCAGAAGATCGATGCTTGCCTCCTGTCCCCCCACCCAATATTGTCTTCTGTCCCCCCCCAATATCAACGCCAGATGAATTATATTTTTTTTTCCCAGCAGGCCATGGCAGATTACCACACAACACACCCGTACACAATGCCCTGACATGACTCCAACTGGGACCCTGTATTCCTGAGATCTAGTGTTTAAAGGCTCTAGTATTAATACCAGATGGCCACAGTGGATTACCCCCGCCCCATCCCCGCACTGCCCTGATGCAAATCGAGGCCCCGTGTGACTGGAATTTAGCTTTTCAGGGCTCTGGAAGATCTGTGGTACTGTACTCGTCTCATCTAGCTAATTCATCCCTTGTATGGGGCAAGGAATAGGAGCTGCGGTGGCTCAAGTGGTTAAGACGCTGAACTGCAGGCTGTGGAAGGTCGGTAGTTCAGCCGTTTGAGACCCGAGTGTGCCGCATGACGGAGCTCCCGTCTCTAGTTCCAGCTCCTGCCAACCTAGCAGTTCGAAAGCAAGAAATTGCAAGTAGATAAATAGGTACCACTTCAGTGGGAAGGTAACAGCATTCCGTGCGCCTTGGTGTTTAGTCATGCCGGCCACATGACCACGGAAACATCTTCGGACAGCGCTGGCTCTTCGGCTTTGAAACGGAGATGAGCACTGCAACCCTAGAGTCGGACTCGACTGGCTTTTGAGCAAGGGAACCTTTACCTTTATGGGGCAAGGAGACCATTATCATGACTGAAGCCTAATTGGAATTTGCCAAACTTTCTGGTGAAGTTTCTTTGTTACTGCTGATATGAGTTAAAGAGGTTAGGGCTCTTTAGCTCGGAGAACAACGACGGAGGGGTGACATGATAGAGGTTTACAGAATTATTCCTGGGATAGAGAAGGTAAAGAAAGAAGTCCTTTTCTCCCTTTCTCACAACACAAGAACTCATGGGCACTCCATGAAATTGCTGAGCAGTCAGGCAACGGTTAGAACGGATAAAAGGAAGTCCTTCTTCACCCAAAGAGGAATTAACACAGGGGAATCCACTGTTGCAGGACGTGGTGGTGGCTACAAGCACCGACAGCTTCAAGAGGGGATTGGATAAACATATTGAACAGAGATCCCCAAGTGGCTCTTAGCCACGAGGTATAGATGGAAGACTATCTGGGGCCGTGATGCTCTGTCTTCTTCGTGCTTTGGGGGGGCACACTGGGAGGGCTTCTGGAGTTCTGGCCCTGCTGGTGAACCTCCTGATGGCACCTGGGTTTGGGCCACTGTGTGACACAGAGTGTTGGTCTGGATGGGCCATTGGCCTGGTCCAACACTGGCTTCTCTTATGTTCTTATGTCTGGAGCAGTGATGCTCTGTCTCCTTGGTGCTTGGGAGGCCACAGTGGGAGGGCTTCTGGAGTTCTGGCCCCACTGGTGGACCTCCTGGTGGCACCTGGGTTTTAGCCCCTGTGTGACACAGAGAGTTGGACTGGGTGAGCCGTTGGCCTGATCCAACATGGCTTCTCTTATGTTCCTATGTCTGGGACAGTGATGCTCTGTCTTCTTGGTGCTTGGGGTGGCCACACCAGGAGGGCTTGTGAAGTTCTGGCCCTGCTGGTGGACCAACCGATGGCCCCTGGGTTTTGGCCACTACGTGACACAGAGAGTTGGATCCAATATGGCTTCTCTTGTGTTCTTAAGAGTCCGCTCTTCTTCATCCCCTTGGTTGGTCTGTCTGTCTGTCTCTTTGCTCCCGTCTCTCGTCCGTCTCCCTCTTCACTCTCTGGTTCCTCTGCCCCTCTCTTTCATCAACCGATGTCCGCCTCTCGTGGACTTCCCCTCCTCTGCTCCTCCCCTCACTTGGCCCACATTCCGTTCTCTTCCAGCAGCAAATTTTTGTATAGGCTGCTTGTTCGTTTCAAAGGACGAAAGCACTGGAATCGGCTTGGGGATTTGCTTTGTCCATTCAATAAATAATTTTTTAAAAAAGGACCGTCACAGGTGAGAAGATCGCATTGAAGGCCACGTGTCCAGAGCAGACCTCTGATCACCGTGAAATATGGCCGGAATCAGATTTTGGGTAATGTCCCGGATGACAAGATAGGAGGCACAGAAGCAGGGTGGCTAGAAACACCAGATACTGGGGACTGGCAACAAAGACCGTAGTTTCCTGGTCATTGGAGCCCATACGGGCCACTTTTGACAGCAGGATGCCGGACTAGATGAACCTGGTCTAATCCGGCAGGGTAATTCTTATGACTCAGAAGAAGGGAATTCCATAACTGTTCCGTGTATATGGATGTAGGGCACAGATGGCATAGTCAAGGTGCCGCTACTAGCACGAGGAGCAAAAAACTCTATGGTAACCATAGAGTGTCCCCCCCCCCGAATTATAGAGCATCGCCATGCGATGCCTCTGGTGTGATGATGTCACTTCCAGTGATGTCATCCTGTTGGCGGCATCCCCGCAGGACACTGCCATTTGGGGGTGGGGCTTCCCCTGCCGGCGGCTGGTGACAGATTGGGCCCCTCGAAATCGGGGGATCCCCTGCCCCGACTGGGGGGGGGGGTTTGACAACCCTAGGGGTAGAGCATCTGCTTCCCAATGCAGAAGGTCTCCGGTTCAGTCCCTGGCAATGCCAGTATGAAGGATTGTAGACTTTGACAGGGTTCAATAACGACACCGTACACAAAGATTTCTTGAAGCTGCAGATCAGCTCTGTCTCTCTGTCTCTCTGCCTCTCTCTGTACCAAACTCTGAACTGACAGGCTCACAGCAGCGTCTTTATTAGCAGAACAAGCAGGTTCACCCAAGGCACAGTGAAAAACGTTACAGTTAGAGCCTCTATGCTCAAATCACACTATGTTCTTCTCACAGGCAAGATTATCTTTGAATGTTGCAAAGCTTGTGTCTTCAGTAATTCATTGTGCTCTTAGAGTAATTTAGCAGTATCATGCAGAATCAGAAAGACCTTGTGCTTTTGGCCAAGCCAATCTCCCGGTGAGAGTGTCCCGGTGGTAACCTGAACTTTGACCTGGGCATGCCTCGCAGGATTTTGTTCAGACCCCACAAAGGATCAGGTGCAAAGTGTTGTAAAAGGCCTTGATCTGAGACCCTGGAGTGGCTCTGCCAGTTAGAGTAGATAGTATTGGTCACGATTAGGGGGTGAGGACGTTCAGGTACACCCGTGCTGAAATTATACCCAAAACGAGCTGTTTCAGGTCAACTCGGGGGACACCCGAAACGACTCTGGAAATTCCGTACATAATGAAAATTTACCTGCTGGGATTTCGGGAGTGTTTTGGGATCTGGGGATGTACAGAACCGGGGAGGGTAAGAAGCCAGCCCAAGAACCGGGGAAGACAGGCAAGGACTGACAGTTAACGGTCAGATGGAACCAGTCTGTGCCCATGGAAAAAGGAAAAGACCACACTGGCCCTGAATTTTACCATGCCGACATTGCTCCCGCTGGAGTGTTTCCTTTCCACCGCCTCTGGCATCAGAGATAGCAGAACCCCCGTAGCCAGAAAATGGGGGGTGGGCTGATGGGCCCCTGGGTTACTTCACGGCTCGGCTGTCACAGCACCCATTCCCCCCCCAAAAAATATTGACAATTGAATGCCATTAGATTAATACAACTGTATAGCCATACGCATACCCGGTTTTCTGAATTCCCAGCTCTCATTAACAACAACAAAAAGGTAAGTCTCTAGTTGATGACTGCTAACCTCCAGGAGGTATACAATGCAACAAGAGGACCACGGTGTATATAGGTTAATAGACAAAACTACAGCACCGTGTATATCATTACTTATACAGTATACATTCTTATAACACTACTTACAATCAGAGTTCGAGACCCGAGTGTGGCATGACGGAATGAGC